CATTTCAGATAACCGGTTACATGCGCAAAAAATTGATTTTTTTTACACGGCTTCAGATGTGGCCGGTTACAACTGAAGCAGTGACACTTTTTTCATAAAAATATAATTTTAAACGAATTCTAATTTTGTATCATTAAACATTGCGTTGATTGATTAAATTGCACTCTTTCAAAATGGTATAATACTGATATAAATACTACACATATCAAAATTCATTTTCTCACCTCTTTCCATACATTCAAACACATTCTTCATCTCTTTTTTTCAAATACAAGTGCATTATTTCTTAAACTTTGATTGAAATTTACTGCATAATAAATCTACATTCCAGAAAGTTTTAGCATCATAATCATTGAGAACTTGTATATCATATTAAGAATTGTTTACTTGAAAGAGAAGATCATTTTTTTTGTAAAAATCTTACAAATTCAAACATCTTACAAAATCCAGATTTGAGTATCTACCTTGTAGTCCAGGATTGTTGGAAACAAGAGAGTGGAAAAGAAAGAACTGTTTTTTTTCTACTTGTTTGGTTTGTATACCTTACTGTCCAGGATTGTTGGAAGCAAGATAGTTGAATTGGAGAGGATTGTTCTCATATCGACTTGGTTAATCATAAGGTATTTTTGCTTTAGTGATTGGCTAGAAGATTGTGTCTAAAAGTCTAGTTTAGGCTTGTACAAAGTTCTAACATTATTGAAATCTCTTACATATTGTAAGTGGACTAGACGTACTCTCGGATGGGAGAGGAACTAGTTTAATCTCTCCATGTTCTTTATTTTTCTTCACTTTGTTTCTTTCATCACATAACTATAAATCAAAAAAATAATAACACTCATCTCTAAAACCAGAAAAATTTCAAAGTACCTAATTCACCTCTCTTAGACGCACTCAATACTTACAAAAAATACTCCACATCACCTTCAAATATCACATGTCTTCAATTCAAGCATGGTGAACTTTATCTTCTCATCGCTGTCTATAGAGGATGAACGATACTCGAGCTTGATAACTCTCTGATTTACTGGATATTGTAGGAGAGCATTAAGTTTGGTTTTCAGATCAATGAAAAGTATGTCATCGCAGATCCAAAATTGAAGTGGGAGTTTTGTGCCACTGAAATACACAAATGTAAGATGGAGATATGTAGTCATTCTACTTTGTGTAAAGAAAATGGAATGAGAGACCTTATTTATAGAAGTTGTAGATACATATCCGGATCCGCCTTTTTTCCCAAAAAATAAGGGTTTATCCAGAGATGCATCTTCGGAGATTCCCCTGGTTTGTTTTAATTAATAAAAATGGTGTGTCCAGAGATGATGCATCTCCGGATCCACCCAAAAATTATGCAGAATAGAACCATGCTAATTATGTAGAATAGCATTTGAAAAACAAAAAATATAAAAAAAATACCATCCAATTTTATAATATTATACAGAGCGTTACTTACAAAAAACATGTTACATTGATAGATTACAACAAAAACACATAAAAACACATGTCACTATCTAAATCTATAGGTGACTCAATCTTCAACCTTTTCTTATTTGCTTTTTGTTCAATGTCGCTCAATTTGGTGAATTTTTCATCCTTTCAAAAAAGTGATCTGACCATGTTTCAGCATCTTATGTGAAATATGGTAATATTTTTGGTATAAGACATCCCAATTTTAAAACAACCTGGACAAAATATTGTTTTTTGATAACCAACCAATACACAAGATAAATTCTGATGGATTACTCCGAAGTAGAAAGATTGTTTTCAAGAAACCATATCGTGTTAAATCAATACACACCCTTTCATAAGTACTTGCTATAAGATGTTACATTTGCGAAAAGCGTATCCATTTGTCAAACAAAGTCGAACCACTAAGACAAGGAACAAGAGCATTGAGAATTGTATCGTAATTTGATTTGTTCCTGTATAACTTTATGTATGATTCCCTATGTGTCGTCATCTCTTGTATAAGATGTCGATAGACAAATTGATGGTCGTCCTCTCTCTTACCGAGTAAACCCGGAACAACTCTAATACCACAATTGTCGTCACTTTCAACATTTACAATCCGCTCGATGCATTTGTGCAAAATAAGCCATATCTCTTTAAAGAATTTGATTTTTGGTAACAGCGGTGGAAGAGATGGTTTACTAATATGCTAGAGATTTCCAAAATATTATTTGGAAGTTAAAACTATTAATTGGAAACACAATTAAACACATTGGAAACACAATTCCAAAGATTTACAAATGTGCATGGTTTGAATCTCACAATAGACACCTTTTGAGTGTTTATTTTTACTAAAATTCAAAATGTAACGACATAAGAATTGAACCCGCAACCGCTTGTTGATGGAACAACGCCCCATTCATTGAAAGATTGCAATGTGCAATGTTTGTGAATTGAGTTGAACGTTAATGTATATAATGGTTCATTAACTCTGGTGCAGAATTTTATTCAAAAATGTGCTTCTTTTCACCAAGTGATATCAATTTCTCTATAAATAGAGACACTTGTGAATTAGAAAAGGAACACGAAAATAGACATGTACACGTTCATTTTTCCACCATTTCAATTATTCTAAATCATTCTTTACTTTATTAATGCATGAGTAAAGTGTAGGAAATATTTTTCTGTAACCTATTATCAAAAGATACGCTTAGTGTGTTTGTGCAATTCACATTAAGAAATTCAAAGTATCATGAAGAGAATTCATCGTTAATCTCAATTGCATCCAATATACAATAATTGGTGGGGGCGAATTGATCCTAAAGGTTAGCGTGAAATTCACACGCTTTGAATTTTCAAGTATGATCTTCATCAACACTTTCTTTGTTCAAGGGCTGTCACATATCCACCAACAACCACAAATATCCAACATAATACAAGCACCATTGAAATTTTTTTATTTTGGAATTTGGAGTCGGAGAATTCTGAAAAATATGAGTCAACATGTTCAAATATGAAGGAGATCGTCTCGTGGAGTTGTCACTTTGAGTTGTTTTTAATGTTTTTAGGGGCACATTTTGTTTTAACATGTTTTACCCACTCACTTGGCTTTGTAAAAAATAAAATTCAATATCGCCTGAGACATGTTGCCAACCAACTATGAATAAAGGATGTTGTATTTAAATCATTGTTCTAACACGACAATATTCCGACCAAAAGATGTTTGTATCTCATTATGTTAATTTTCGAGCATTTGGTTCACGACATCTCAATCTCGAAAAAAATCACCTTTAATATTTTCCAACCAATTCTTGAGTCTAGCATATGCATATTCAACTAAGTTAGTTGTTATATTGCCAAGGTGTCAAACCTGATCAGTCCATGCACAATCAATCTTCTCTTTAACATGGTCTAGAATCGTGCCCTCAACATATTTCAGGAAATATGAATATATCGCACACACTCTTGAAATGTGGAACATATTAGACATATATTCTTCCGTGGAAGAATTTATTATACCATTTCATACATCTATTATCTTTTCCACAACCACACCAGGTTTGACAACTTTATCATCTTCACCTTTGATTTGTTTCGTGCCAACCGCAGGTTTTACTCGACTTCACACATTTTTGGTTATGTGATACATATAAAGTAATGCGGAAGAAGTAAGAAATACCGTTACAACCGAATTCATGAGTGTGGTGTCGCGATCCGTGATTATGACTTGTGGCATGCTCTCTTGATCCTTCAACATACTCTTCCACATTTTCAAAATCCATGTAACATTGTCCTCTTTTTTAGATTCCAAAAATGCAAAACCGAGTGAATCTTTATACTTATTTGTTTTGTTTGTTGAGTCAATTATAAGCACGAAAGAAAAGGTGTTAAGCAACTTCACGAAATCAAGATAACTCCAAATATATCTCGAATTGTGACTTTATCATCATAAACTTTGTACCTTGAAACATAGTCGTCATCTTCTAAAAGCTTCAACCGTTGTCGTATCTCAGGTCTTGGTCTTTTTATCGCCTTGTTATATTGAGCACGTACGTTGTATATTTGCTTGTTATTTGAAACATTTGAGGCCTTTTTCCATTTCAAAGACACAAGTATGTTTTTCGGCACCACGATGTTTAATGTTATGTCTGAAACAAGTCTCCCCTCCTCCGAAACAAGATGACATACAATAGGATGACCGACTAGCTTGTCATCCAAAACATGATTATATATACCGAAAATCACATTAAATTTCCATATCTCATCCGCCATACGGATATCCGCGCAATTCAAACAGACACTCACATTTCCTCGATCATGTGCCATCTTGTTTCAACTTCATAATCTTTGGCTGGTACATGCCACTTCTTTTGCATATCATTGTTACAAATGTTTGTCTTCTATCGCAACCACTATCGGACCTTCCAATTACAACGCTAAACCCCATTTTTTCAACCTCCATAAGGACACATTGTAGCATATGTTTACGAACGAAATACACTTCTTTATTAGTAAATTGTTCGCGAACATCTACCTCCACAACGACCGGTCGAGCATCCAATTTAACTTCATCATTCACTTCATCTGATTTAACATCATGTTTCACTTCACCCGATTTAACATTATGCTTTACTTCGATCGATTTAACATTCACACTCACAATAACTTTGAAAAATATATCCGGGTGCGCCATTTCTATTACCACCAATAATAGGAAAAACAATGTTAAAATTAAAACTAACTGGACACTTCAGATATGACATTCGGACCACACCAAACTTCGTCTGGAGATGCATCTCCAGACGTAACATTCATTTGTTAACTACAAACTTGAATTAATGCCAGTAATGAGAGATGAAATGAATAATATTTACTTGAAATTCTAGTTTGTTTTGCTACCTTTGAAGTGAAGAAATACCAGAAATAAACAAATGATATGGTGGTGGAGGGTAATACTAGCTAGTCCACGTCAATCATGGGTACAAAATTAAAACTTATAGAAATGCAGAAAATCTAGGCTACAAAGTAATCCCGGAAAGTAGAGCATATCTGCATCAGTATGGAGGTGGAGGGTACATTCCTGAAAGAAGAAGAAAAAGTGATTAGAAAAGAGGAAATGAAAATTGAAATGGTTGGCAGAGAAGAAAGTGAAATAGGTACCAGCGTTTGGAGGATAAGCCGCAGGTGGAGGGTATGAAGGTGGTGGATAAGAGCGTGGAGGAGGGTATGGTGATGATGATGAGGGTGGTGGATAAGCTGAGTGTGGAGGGGGGTATGGTGATGATGAGGGTGGTGGATAAGCAGAGTGTGAAGGAGGGGGGTATGGTGATGATGAGGGTGGTGGATAGGCAGAGTGTGGAGGAGGGGGGTATGGTGATGATGAGGGTGGTGGATAGGGAGATGAATGATGTGAAGCAGGAGGAGGAGGAGTAGGATAAGCAAAAGCAGGTGTTGGATGGTGATAATTAGAGTATGATGGTTGTTGTGGGTAGTAGGAAGGAGCTGTGGGTGTTGTTGCCACATGGGTTGAGGAAGAATCTAGTTTCTGCAAACCAAACACAGTCATGAATTCCAAATTAAGATAACTAAAAATGAATAAAAGAAATGGTTACCTGTTGATTTAGTTTGGCATTAGCATAATGCAATATAAGTTTGATTTCACCTGCGTGCCTGCGAGGGAAGGGAAAAAGATACATGATCTACTATCAACACTTAAAGCACACACTATGTATAATAGTGATTGATAGGTACTAACCTGCCAGATTTGGTTTGAAGCGGCCAAGAAGAATCATCAAAACCTTGAGACAAAACCTTGTTCAATTGAACCCTAATCAACCACAATAAATCAATCAATAAAAATCGAGAGAGAGGTAAGAAGAAATACTAGTGTTACTTACTTTCCCGTGCCTATAAAACCATCGAATGTGAGGGTATTGCTGTTCCAAACGACAACAGTGAGCTCGCGAAGACCTTCGATCAGCGGCACAACGAACTTCTCTTGAAACACCGGATGTTTTCCACCGTCTGGATCCATCCAAATCAATGAGGTCAACTCAACGGTCAAAGTCATAAAAGAACAATCAGAACAAGAATCAGTAGTACGAGGAACGAACCTGTGCAGGTTCTTGTCCGGAACTTGGTGGAAGCGTATTCAAGACAAACGTAGGGATCTTGTCTTGAAATCCATTCAGTGTCCTTCAATTTCGCGCAAGAAACAACCGTCACCTCCAAAGGTTGCCCCTGAATCCCCGCTACCGTTCCAGAAGACATTCTTTTCGTTCGGAAAATGCTGATTCAGATCCACACCATACTTAATTACTTATACTCAATTTCACTTTTCATTCTAACTCTGCCCATTTATTATCATTCTTATCTCTTCACGCGTATATTTCTTTTCTTTTCTGTTTACCAAATCAAAACAAATATACCTTCATCATCTTTTATCACCAAAACGAAGAAAGAAAAAAAAAAAAATACCTTTTAAGATTTTTTTATTAAGAAATGGCCCCACTTGTAAATTAAAATGAAAAGTCACACTAAATAAAATATTGATTATGCTAATCGATGTCATTTACAATTAAATATAATTATAAAGTTAAAAATAATAGTGTATGATTTCAAGTGCCAATTTCCATATGTAATGTTAATGTAAGAAATTTTACACCCTCAATTAATTATAATTATTTATAATTATATGATAAATTAAATATTATTTAAGATTTGACGGTTATATTTCGTTATTATTGTAAAAATATTTTATACTGTCGTAATAATGTATTCTCATTAAATTCAATTAGTTTTACATTATCATTTAAAAAAATTATAATATTCAACTATATCATGTTAGTAATTAAAAATTAAAAGTGTAATTTAGAAAAATACACTTCTTTATTGATTGACGGTGTATAAATATTATAAATTATTCATGCATATTATTTTTTCCTATTTGATAGGTAAATGATCGTACCTGATTAGAATGAACCGTCACAGTTTACGTCAAGCAGAACTTGAGAGTGAGATGGGAGTACCTGCAAGACACTCTGATGTCAAAGTGAGATTCAGATTGAGCAAGCAAGTAAGAGAGTGAGAAATATTCGACACCTGACTCTCTCGAAAAAAAGGGTATTTATAGCCCCCGACGCTGGGCCAATGTCTCCTCATTGGGCTGGTCAAGTAGCCCCAAAGTGGAGACTGCCAAGTCCTACGTGATTAGTGGGGACCCGCACGTGGTCCCCCACCTGGATGACTTCCTCCGCAAGATCAGGAGGATATGAATGCGGTCTTTCTGGGGCCACAAAGACTCCACGATATTCAGATACATTGATAGTCATCCATACGAGGAGGATGCTCGTGAGATGCTTCTTCTCGTCGTGGATGCTCTGCGCCAAACGCGAGGTCGTGTGAGGGGATCAGTCCTGGTCGGGGAGAGGATCAGAGGGTGACCTCAAAGTCTTCCTGACTGTCGATGATCTTCCTAAGATTGACTGGGTTTGTCCATGTACGGTGAGGTTGCCTCCTTGCGGGGCGTGGGAGTTGCTGCCCAACAAAGTCGAGGGCAGAACTGGCCAGTATGCCTTGACCGCCATAATTGGGTTAGCCTCGCATCGAGTTGGGCTAAGGGAAGGCCCAGTCCAGAACATGAGCCCCTAAGTCGTGGCTCCTGATGAAGGAGTTATGACTTAAGTCCAACTTTTTCTTTTACGAGGTGCGCTACTCGACGAGGATCTTTTATTATGTTGACAAAGAAAGTCATCGATATATGGGTTTACCCGAGCAGCGTTTGGAATGGACTCGAGATGGGAGCATTCTAGTCTCGGGGAGGAGAAACCTGCGGGGTGTAGGCACGTGGCGTGACCTTTGGGATTGTAATGATGACCTAGGGAGTATGGGTCATCATTAGCTGAGCGCGTAGGTGTCGAGGAGAAAGGCGGTTGTTGAGCTACCCGACACGATGTTACGCATTCCATGTCAACTCTATATATAGTGCCCCAAAGCCCATTATTCGCGTTTACATTCTCGCGCTCTTCACTCTCTCTATCGCCAATGTCGCGCCGTTTCCTTCCACTGCCAACGCCGCTGCAGAATCCGCCGCATATTCTTCTTCTACCTTCGTTATTCTTCATCTACTCTTGTCCAAGTAAGTATTTTTCGTGATACTCTTTGTTTAGATTGGCTTTGATGATGTTTTAGTTGTAGAATTTCACAACTGGGAGGTTCTGCTCAGGGAATTCATGTATTTATGCGTACTATTCGTGATTGAGCCCGTGATATTCATCTTTTCCCCGACACTTAGGTGAATTTGCCCCGTAGTCTTCATATATCCCCGCGGAATTTATGAATTTTGTGCAAGAAATTTATGTGATCTCCGATGAATTCATGAGCTTGGCTGGAAAATTTGTACTTTGCTCGCTGTATTCTTCCTGTGCTCGGGGTATTCATGAAAATGAGCATTCATCGTTATAACCGATGTATGGTCTTATAAGACTGGCATGATTTTCGTGCCTTGATCGAGGGCCGAGTATTACCCCTTCTGCACGAGTGATTGTCGACTTGGTTTAGGCGCCGCATAACCCTTTCACCCAAGCCGTGGAAGGATAGATTCGGATTTGCTGTCGAATTTACCGGTTTCCTCTGCTTTACAGGTAAAATGGCCGACACTCCTGAATCGTCAGAGCACATGGACACCGAAGAGACCAGTGTAGTCGAGGAGGGTGTCAACTTGGTTGACACGGTTGACGATCCTGCATTGGCTTGGGTCGGGGAATAGCCTCGAGGAATAGCCTCGATATATAGTTATAACAGGAGGAAGACTTACATTGTCGTCGAGTATGGCGGCGATCAGGAAGGTTTCCAAAGGAACTTCACGATCTTGCGATCGATGCCCAATGCTCGAATATGCTCGGAGTTCGAGGAAGATCGTTTCCCTATGTATGAGGTCGTTTTCAGAGACTTAGGGATTCGCCTTACCTTCAACGATTTTCATATAGGGGTGCTCAATCACTTGAACTTAGCACCCTCTCATCTTCACCCCAACGCCATTGCCTTCATACGAGAATTTGAGATTACTTGATGGTTCTTGAGGATCGGGGCAACCATTCCCCCGTTCTTCAGGGTTTTTCATCTTCAACGATAGTTCCGGGGTGGGAAACACAACAGGGTCTCCCTCAAACAGTCGAAGAGGTTGTTTAGGATGTACATGAAATCTGTCCACGACTTTAAAGACAAATGGTATATGATGCGACCTACTTCTCAGGCTACTGTGAACGCCGTGTTCGACCCGACTCCCGTCGTGGATGAAGACGGTGAACCGTGCTATGATGTGAATGGTGAGCAGGAGATGAGGCGAATCTCGAAGTTTCCCATTCATTGGTGTTCGGGCCATTACGATCATGGTCCTGGGATTATCATGCTCCCGCTGGTGGCATTAGCGCTGAGGAAGAAGAGGCCTATGATGTCCTTAATCAGTTTTTCGACGGGTTCTTTCCTGCCAGATGGGTCATGAGGGAAGGGCATGACATCCTCGATGAAGATGGTGAGATGAGGTTCGAAGCACGCCCGATCAACACCAATGCCCTCGTCAAGTGTCATCCTTACAGGGAAGCCGTGAATCTCTTAGGTTTCTGCTCGCTTTATTTTACTATATTTTTACTTCTTGACTTGACTTCTTTTGTTTTCTTGTCGAGGCTGACCCGAGGATACCGTTTTTGTTTTTGCAGGTAACATGGCGGAGCATCGCGAGAGATTGTTGAAACTGACCCAAGAGAAAAGAGCCATAAGAGGTTGGTGAAGTCGCACCAGGCTACACGCATGGGTTCAGTTTCTGAACCGGTCAAGGAGTGATCAAGTGGGTCGTCGGGCACCCGTGGTGCTGATCAGCAAGCTACTGTGCTGAGCAAGAAAAAGAGTCGCCCAGAAGGTGGGATCGTCGATGTGACTGAGGGAGGGACGACTGTCCGAGCCTTCAACCTACCGCCCTGCTTTGTGGAGAAGGATTTCTTTGAGGGTTTTCCTCTGATTGTGTCTGACAATGAGACTGACATCATCAGGCGACTCGACAAAGAGGGTCGAAGAAAACATCTGGCTTCCAGTATGGTCGGCATGATGAAGGTGGCAGAAATGGTTGTGGTCCTTACGTGCGAAGGGGCCGACTCTTTTGGTCGGGTTAAGGAACTAGAGTCAGAGAAAGTGACTCTTCAGGCGAAGACACGGAAATTAAAGACTGCCCTTGAACGAGGCGAGGAGATGTTCCGGGAGCAGGCCGATGCGCTGGCGGGGGAGAACGAGAGAGCTAAAAAAGCCCTCGAGGAAAAGGATTGTCTCTTACTCGATAAAGAACCGTGGGAGAGAAAAAAGGAATGGCTGGAGAGGGAAGACACTGACCTGAAGGCTACCATGATGCCCGTGGAGGGCGAACCCGAGGGGGTAAGTGATTTGCGCACTCGTGCCGATTTTGTTGCTCGGATTCAAATCCTCGAGCTGGACTGCGTCGATGCTTTGGCCGACGACTTCGAGGCTACCGTGAACCAGCTGTCCGTGTTGAACCTGGGGCTTAACACATAAGGTTCTGTCCCAGGTGATTGACGGTCGGGTGTTTCCTCCTCCTGACTCTCCCGAGGTCGAAGTGGGCACTCCGAGGAGTGATTAGCATTTTTTTAGATAACTTAGATATTTGTATTTGGGCCTGCGTGCCCGTAATTTTTTATAACATTCAGACATCATTGGCTCTAGCGGTCGACATTTATAAATGCTTTACTTTGCTTCAATGCCTTTATGTTTTTTCTGATGCTTGCTTATTTTTTGCTCGTCGATGTTTTTGACTTATTTATTCCATGAATATTTGTATATTCCATGTGGAGATGTATGCTCGACCTTTGTTATGGTCGACGCAAGTTCATTTTTTCGTGTGCGGAGATGTATGCTCAATCCTCATATTGTTCGGCACATGTTGGGATGTGTCGAGGAGGCGGAGTAGGGATCTTCCGAATGAGTGTAAGATCATGGTCGAGATCTTAAACCGTGGCGTGAACTATCCATCGCGAGCTAGGTGTTCTGCCATATTGGGTACTTCGACAATAGAGCTCGATTGAGTTGTCCCTGTCAGTCTAAGATCTTGCTCGTGAACTGAATAAATCTCGCCTTTTGCTGATGTTTGGAAGCCATGTCTGTACCTAGACACGCCTACATTTTCAAGCGCGTCCCCTCGGCGGTTAGAGAGGATTGGTCGACTACTAATGCCCTTAACGGGTGAAGGACTTAACTATAGTATTGTT